GAGGTGAATGCAGAAAAAAATATTTTATCTATTTACTTTCAAGTTTGGGGACAGAGGAATTTTGGCCTTTCAGCAGTGTTTGTGGGTCTCACACATCATGATAATCAAAATGCCTGTGTACAAGGTATGGTGTAAGAAGAGGAACAGATGTTACTCTACAGCAATACTACATACCTAAGACATGACACAGTGTCATTTTGGGAGTGGTTCAGGAGTTATTGCTGCGGAGGAGTGCCACAGAGATAAGCAGGAAGGAGCAGCAAAAGCTCAGCTACGGCATTGTTGGAAACATTTCACATTCACCTCTTCACATCACTTTTTTCCAGTAGGTACAAATTAGGGTTAAGATTAGGGTAGCACTGCAGGTAATGCTGTACCTAGTGAAGGAGCATAGCACAGGAAACATATACAGCATTACTTGAACATCAGTTATCTCATGTGCTTCACTGACACTTGGCTCTGCATAGGTGGGATGCCCAGAATATATGGAAGTACCCGTTTCACTGTGAGCAAGAACCAGTTTAAAAGCCCTGAAGGCACCCAGCTGGCTCAAGTAATAAAATTAATATTAATATGAGAATAAAGAGTATTCACAGGCTTTACAGAAGGCTTAAAGACCTCCTAAGCTTAAGAAACTTGCTATATGAGCTGCCAGAGCAACTTTCAAGAGACCAGGCAATCTGTTAAAATCCATCCAGCCCATGGAAACACGAAACATTTCTACAAACCAAGTTTTATTAAAAATGTCAGCATTTTTCAATAAAAACTTGTCATTTTCTCCTTCAAAAAAACCCCCCAAAAAAACAAAAACAAAAACAAAAACAAAAACAAAAACAAAACAAAAAAACCCCCACAAAAACCCAAACCAACAAGAAAACCAAACACAAAATTTCCTTTTAAAAACGGAACCAATTTACATCGGAGGTTTAAACTGCCTCTCAGTCCATGGGAAGGAAAGTCATACTCAAAGGCAAGAAAACCTTAGTCTTTAAGGAGAGCAACAGGGCAGGGAGGAATGGAGAAAGCAGCCAGGGACTGGTCAAATGTACACTTTTTCCCTCAGAGAAAGACAGGAGTCTGAAGGAAGATGGTGAAATACATTCCTGTAATGTTACTATGCTTTCAACTCAAAACTGCTGTTTTGATTCTGTATTGTAAAATTTCAAGGACTGCACGTAAAGCATCTTCATTCTTTGCTCAATTAAGGAAAAATGATCAAGAGTTATAAATTGCAAAGCTAGGGACAGTTCAAAAGGCCTGGTGTAAAGTCCTGAATTGAGAACACAACTATGTTCAAAACATTCAATTTGGGAGCTAGGATTGCCCAAAATGAACAATGTATTATCACACAAAGAAGATCTGTTGTTCCCCCACTCTAATAATTTACTTCTTGACCCATTTATCTTTCTGCCCTTACAAAAGTTTTGTCTTTTTAGAGTCGTTTGGAAGTGCTGACCTGGGGAAGCTTTCACTCCTCCTGCCCACCACACTGGCACTTGCAGAACACACTTCACATGAACAGCAAATCCACAGGACTCTGGATAGCTGCAGCCCTGTTTAAACTTTATATGGCCACTGCAAAGAAACCTTTTCTGCTGTCCCAAAATAGATTCGTCCACTCAGTGTACAAGTGGTCAACCCATACACAGAGTCAAGGAATTTGATTTCTTCACAGTTCTGCACAGAAAGGGGCCTTGGGTGGCAAATCCACAAAGACAGCACCACAACTGCCACTGATACTTTTCCCTATTGATACACTTTAGCAAAAAAAGGCACTAATTTCCTTGGCTACAAGTTACCTAGTTGTCTTATTAAGAAATATTCTATCTTCTATTGCTTAATGATTTTCTTGCTTCTCATGCTAATTAATCTGCTTGCTCAGTCTTTCTCTTCCTTGGAGCCTGTGGGTTTCTTGGGTTGGTAGCCATGAGTCAGTTGTGATCTGCTCCTGCCGGAATTACCTTGTACCCAGTTGGGACTGGTTTCAGCACAATTGCTGAGCTGGCTTTACTAGTTTCTTTCTTATCTTGGGGGTTCTGCCAAATGTCCTTGTGGCTTGTAAATTCTGCATTTCTTGTATCCACTATCAGTGGTACAACATTCTTCCTAAGCTTTGTTAACTTCTCCCTAGGTCTGAGGTCATTGAAGCATGTCAAGCCCTAAACCTTAATAAGACAATTCTACCAATAAGTCATTTGTTTATCTAACACTTGGAAATTACTTAGAGCTTGCTCGTTAGCTGATGTTTCAGGGATTAAATCTCCTTTCTTGTTATTAGGCTTGAAAGTACACAAAGATAAAACACTAAAGAATTTTCTTAAGAAAATTTTACATAGTCCACATTTTTCAGCAGTTCATCCTTCTTCCCGGGCTTTGCTAACCGCCCTGCTAGGTCTTTACATTGAAGCATGTTGGACCCTAAACCTTAACTCTTAATGAGAATGGTGTTGATAACACACTGAGGTTTTTTGCTAAGCCATGTTTAGCCAATGGATTTTTTCCTTATCTCATGCTCTGCTAGGGAGGAGGTTTGCAAAAGAAATTGGGAGGGAACATAGCTGGGACAGGTGATCTGAACTGACCAAAAGGATATTCCACACTAAGGAATCATAGAATCAACCAGGTTGGAAAAGATGTCTGAAATCATCAAGTCCAACCCTTGATCCAACACTGCTGTGGTTACTAGATCATGGCACTAAGTGCCACATCCAGTCTCATCTTAAAAACCACCAGGGACAGTGAATCCACCACCTGCCTGGGCAGCCCATTCCAGTGTCTGATTACTCTCTCCATAAAAAATTTCTTCCTAATATCCAACCTAAACCTCCTCTGGCACAGTTTATGATTATGCCTTCTTGTCCCACTGCTGGTTGCCTGGGAGAAGAGACCAACCCCCACCTGGCTACAACCTCCTTTCAGAGAGTTGTAGAGAGTGAGGAGGTCTCCCCTGAGCCTCCTCTTTTCCAGGCTGAACAACCCCAGCTCCCTCAGCCTCTCCTCATAAGACTTGTGGTCAAGTCCCTTCACCAGCCTTGTTGCTCTTCTCTGGACCTGCTCCAGCACCTCAATATCCTTCCTGAACTGAGGGGCCCAGAGAACTGGACACAGCACTCAAGGTGTGGCCTCACCAGTGCTGAGTACAGGGGAGAATTACTTCCCTGGTCCTGCTGGTCACACTATTCCTGATACAAGCCAGGATGCCCTTGGCCTTCTTGGCCACCTGGGCACACTGCTGGCTCATGTTCAGCTTCCTGTCAATCCAAACTCCCAGGTCCCCTTTCTGCCTGGCTGCTCTCCAGCCACTCTGTGCCCAGCCTGTAGCACTGCATGGTTTTGTTGTGACCAAAGTCACAGGACTCGGCACTTGGCCTTGTTGAACCTCATCCCGTTGGAATCAGACCATCTCTCCAACTTGTGCAGGTCCCTCTGCAGAGCCCTCCTGCCTTCCAGCTGATCAACACTCCCCCCCAACTTGGTGTCATCTGCAAATTTGCTGATGGTGGACTCAATCCCCTCATCTAAGTCATCGGTAAAGATATTAAACAGGACTGGGCCCAACACTGGTTCCTAGGGGACACCACTAGTGACCAGCCCCCAACTGGATGCAGCACCGTTCACCACCACTCTCTGGGCCATCAGCCAGTTCTCAATACAGCACAGAGTGCCCCTGTCCAAGCTGTAGGCTGCAGTTTTTTCAGGAGTATATTGTGGGAGATGGTGTCAAAAGCTTAGCTGAAGTCCAGGTAGACCACATCCACAGCCTTCCCCTCATCCAGCAGGAGGGTCACCTGGAGACCAGGTTGGTCAGACAGGACCTGCCCTTCCTAAACCTGTGCTGGCTGGGTCTGATCCCTTGTCCATCCTGTAGGTGTTGTGTGATTGCACTTAGGATTATCTGCTCCATAACCTTACCAGGGATTGAGGTCAGGCTGATAGGCCTGTAGTTGCCTGGGTCCTTTTTGCAGCCCTTTTTGTGGATCGGTGTGACATTCACCAACTTTCAATCATTTGGGACCTCCCTAGTGAGCCAGAACTGTTGGTGAATGATGGAGAGTGGCTTGGCAAGCTCTTTATCACCCTAGGATGGAGCCCATCTGGTCCCATAGACTTGCAAGGACCCAAGTGGCTCAGCATGTTGCTGTTTCCTCCTGGATTACAGGGGGGCATCATGTCCAGTGTATAAACTGGGGTAAGTTGACTGGAAGGGGCCAATCTGCATTGGGAAGAGGTGTCTGGCATTGGTCAGTGGGTGGTGAACGATAGTATTGTACATCACTTGTTTTTTTCCCTTATAATACTTTCATTTACCATTATTACTGCATTTTTACTTCATTTTCGATTATCCAAACTGTTCTTATCTCAAACTAAAACTTCTATTTTGATTCTCCTCCCCATTCCATCGGGACTGGGGGAGTGGGTGGGGTTGGGAGATGGAGGTTTGAGCGGGCGACTGAGTGGTGCTTAATTTCCACTACACAAGGTGATTCTACCGACAAGTAATTTATCTTTCGAACACCCGGGGACACCAGTACGGATCGACAGCGACAGGCACACATGAGCAGCGCAGCCCTGGCTGGGGCCGTACCGCGTTGTCACCGCAGATGACGGAGTGCAGCTCGGCGCTACCAGGACGGCAGGGAGCGTCCCCACGCCCATCCCGGGGCCAGGCGTGTCCCCGCCGCTCCATCACTCCACTCGCTCCACCTCAAATCCCTGTGACGCGCGGCCGCACACACGTGGTACGGGATGACGGAGGCCTGACGCGCGGCGACGGGCGGACCGCGCCGATTGGTCTGCGGGGTCCGACCGAGCTCTGATGGCTGTCCATCATTCGCGCGGCAGGCGGGGCGCGGCGCGTGAGGCCAGGGGCGCGAGCGCGCGGGGCTGAGCGCGCGGCGGGGCGCGCGCGCCCGCCGCCTTCCCAGGGCCGCCGTTCACAGGGCCCCGGAAAGTCAGAGAGCTCCGCACGCCTCACTTCCTCCGCCGGTGCCTGCAGCGGGAGATGCGCGGCGGTGGTTTCTGCGTCCTTTGCTTGGAGCGCGCGGGCTCGGATGCCCCGTGCTGGTGTCGGCATCCCTGATCCCGCTGCCTTGTTCCTGGCGTGTGTGTAACTGGGCATCTTTGGAGGGAAGCAGATGGATCCGCTGCCGAATCCGTCCCCCTTGGCCACGAGGCTGCGGAACACGCTTGTGCGCTACCACGGCATTGCGGACGGAGAGTGGAGGGTGGCCAAGAAAACCGTGAGTGCTCACCCTGGGCAGTTTTCCTGGTCCGTGATCCCGGGGAAGCTGTTGTGGATCACTCTTACGGCGGAAAGAGCCTATTGTGTGTGAAAATCTTGTCCAGTTCCTGCGGGACTTTTGGTGAGACAGGGGCTGTGAAACCTCCCTTCTAGGATAGAGCATCTCTAGATGGCTTGTTACCTCCAGGACGCAGTTTGTGAGCATTAGCGGTCAGGCATGCTTTCATTTTCAGCGCTGGACACACAGGAGGATCGCTCCTCTAATCATATGTGTGTCCCCTTCTCGGCTCAGCGTGCTAATATTTACTTAAAATTTTACATATTCAGCAAATGTCTTACATGTTCACTCCCTTTCTTATAAAGTTCATACGTATGTTAATCCTAAGAAGTTCTTCGGCCCCATATTGGTTACTAGGGGGTCTTCCGGTGGTCTTCTGGAGGTCTCTGGTGGTCGTCTGGAGCTTGAACTTTACTTGAACTTGTCTGTTGAACAGCGTATTTACAGCTGATTATAGAGCGTCTTTGTTCAGCATCTCTTATCCAAAAACTGGCTACTTACGTTTCCACTACTTTAACTAAAGCATTCAGAAACTTGCTTATTCCGCAACTACCTGAACAGAAACTTACATTGTAAAGGCCGATAGAAAATGACTGAACAATGGAGAATTGCTGCTCTCAGGCTGAGTGTGTTTTTATGGTTGCAGACATACTCTTGTCATTCCTTCTACCCATTTTCAGGGAAGTGTCGCACAGAAGGACCCTGCCTGGGTAGGATTATAGGCTTGATTTAAAGCAAAATGTGAAATAGCATTGGTAGTGCTGCAAGAGGCTCAGGTGTACTTCCAACAAACCAGCCACAGCCTGTAGATAGGATATGCCAGCCTCTTGAACGTTTTTCTCAACAGTGCTTGAACCCATCCATCAGACTTCAGTTTCCAAATACCTTCCTCTTAAGAAGTGAGGTAATTCTCAATTCTTTTTCTCATATTGCTTCACATTTTTGTTGCCTTCAGAGCCCCTACATTATGCTAAGTTTCCTAAAATGAAAGGGAATGTAGTTCCTGCTTTCTCCAAGCAGTTTGCCATACTCTTCTTTTGAGCTGCCTGGATTTTTATGAGTCCTGCTTCAACAAGCTAAATAGACTCTGCTGGTGCATCAGTTCTAGGCTACGTGAAGTTGTTAGTCCTGTCCTGCATAGAAGGTAGAAATGTATTTGGGTATCTCAGTGTATCAACGTGGTAGACTAATGTGGTAAATTTCTATCTTTGCCCTTTGGTTACCTTGTTTTGAGTGGGACTTACATTTATTTTTTTTCCTTCATGAGCAGACATTGATAGGATAGAGTCAAGTGGTCCAAATATAGCTTGATTATTTGCAAAATCAACAAATTCACTGTCTTGAAAGGGAGGAACAGAGCATCCAAGCCTTTCAGTCTTCCAATACACCTATACCTCTTCTGCTCTACTAAGTATTAAGGCTGTTGTATTCCAGTGTTGTTATGTCATTTACTATTGTATTCCTGTAGGAAGTAACCTGCATCTCAGTGTTTCAAATCATATTACTCCCCAGATTTTACCCCTGTAAAATTTCTAGTTTGACTTTCTTTTTGCCTCCTTCTCTCTGTCTCTTCCTCCCTCCCTTTCTCCTCTCTTTCTTCCCTCCCTTCTTTTCAGTTTGGTACTGTGCCTGTAAAAGACATTCAGAGCTTTACCAATAACCAGGGAGATGTGTTTTGCTCCAGAATATCTTAAATAGTTCTGGATGAAGTACTTAACAGTGCTCTTCTTTAGGACATTTAGTTCTTTGTGCTTATACAATCATGACTCCAAATAAAGCAGTGCCACATGGTACTGTCTTTAACACCAAAATTCAGAGATGTTGTACAGAGGCTTCATTTAATAGTTAGGCAAAAATCAGAAGATGCTAGTTTCGTTATTTTCCTTGTGTATCTTTAAAATAAATAGACTACTGCTTGCAAGAGACTTTTAGTGAGGCATTTAGCATAGAAGGGTATCTTAAGCTTCCCCTTCTGCCACTGTCAGCACCTCCTGCACACATCTGTTTGGTCATATGTTGCAGGAGTGCAACCAGAAGTTGTGTGGTCTTCCTGTCCAAGTAGCATCCAGATAATGGCTTTCCAGTTGCTTTTAACTGTAAGGCTTTGCCTGGTAATGTGGTTCCGTCATTCTGTGTGTCTTCATAGCAAACTGGCTTGGCCGACCAAGCCCTATTTCTATGCAGATTTTTAGCATTTTACACTGAGGAAGGCAATTGTCTGACTTTTTTTTAAAGAATAGAATATTACAAGAGATATCTGAAACATCTCCCAGGTGCCCCAGTCAATGAGACTTTGGGGTGAACCATAGTTAGTGGTAAAATTGGTTGCTTTTCATCAGGAAAATTGAAGCATTTTCTGAACATCTAATAATTATATATAAGTGACAATTAACATCATATCTTATATTTTCTTTCAGAAAGATGCAACTGTGTGGCGTAAACCATCAGAAGAATTCAGTGGATACCTGTAAGTTTGCCTGTAGAGCAGATGATTTTTTAAGGTTCCACAGGTGCACTTTATAGAATTTAAAAACTAAGATTGTGAATTCTACAGCCCTCAGCTACAGAGATTCTCCAGAGTAGAAGCTAAATGGATTATCTGTTGTACCTAAATTATTTCTTTGCAGTGTTACACTTTGATACTTTATTACTGCATGGTATTTATACAACAGACAGTGAAATCTGTGGAACACATCAAAAAACTCCCACTGGCTGAAGTGGGCAACAGCATCTGCCCAGAAATGATGACCTGCCTGCAATAGAGTAAAATATCAAGTGTTTAGTTGTGGAAAGAGGTGTGACACAAATGCCCTTCCTGTGTGAGTTTCTGTCTCTGGGTTCTCTTGGTTAGGTTTAGGCTACAGACTGTTTAGAGAAACAGTTACTAGAAAATGCTACTCTGAAGAAACAAAAAGTCATGTGAAAAGGTAGTGTTTGACTAGTTATCTGCAGTAAATAAGAACATCTTAGTTAACACAAAGTATTTTGAAAATAATGGTCCTGGTGGATTTTTCACCTTCAGGAACTGGAGGCCCAGTAACTCGAGTAAACAAAAATTCTAGAAAGAACTGATAACAAATGGATGTTCTGTAATGTCTGTACCAAATTATTTTATTTGATACTTTTATATGCCGCTAAAGCATAATATAGTTTCTCATTAGCTTGCTTTTACTGCTATTACTTCTTCTTTATGACAAATATTGTTCCCGTTGTATTACTGATCTTATTTTTTCCTTTTTAGTTTTACTTGTCCCTGGTGAATTCCCTTGCCAGCCCAACAAGAGGAGCAGAATAACAAGTTATTAGAGAAATAAACAGATTAATTTTTATCTAAGGAAGGATTTTGCCATTTAAAAATATTTGCAGAAAAAAAGACAAGGTTTCTCAGAATAACATGTATTGCAGAGAAGAATAGATGCACCCATAGGTCTTCTTCTGTGCTGTTTTTCTGATTCAGTTGTCCACTGTCTGTACCTCCAGGTACACTAACATGTAATTTTACTGCTGCAAATTAATAGGATATAAAAAATTTCTCACTGTTAAATGTAAACATATATTTCTCTAGCTACAAAGCTCAAGGAGTGGTGGAAGATGTTGCTAACAGAATAGTGGATCATATTCGCCCTGGACCTTACAGGCTAGACTGGGACAGCTTAATGACTTCAATGGACATCTTGGAAACATTTGAAGAGGTGAAGACTTGTCTAGATTCTTAAAGGAGATGTGTATAGATGAATATGTGAATTTAACAGTACAGCAGAGGAGTAATTCCTACAAATAGTAACATTTTTCATTCTGCATGAGGCATTGTGCATACATGCTGTGTGTGACCTCAGATGAGGCTTTCTGGCAGCACAGTCCCAATCTGAAGCTTGACGTTCATCTTTCCATCAATGCTAAAAATAGTCAATCACAGTTCTCTTGGACCTGGGAACTCTGATAAAATTCACAGATGAAGAGCTACAGTGTGATATTGTATATGCCAAAGCCTTTTCTTGCAACTTTCTTCCATCCACAAACAATCATAATCACACTTATGGAAGCTGCATCCTCTTCCTCTTTCTGAAAGGCTGACCTGTGTAGTGTGGCTTTATGCTGAGATACAAAACAGTTCAAACTGAGAGTCAGGACTAAATAAAGGAAGGTAGGTTTGAAGTTGATTACAGAAGAGCTGGTAGCATTTCTTTCGTTACTGCAGACATTCAGTATCACTTCAAACCCCCTCTGGATATCTGGCTTGAACGTGGATTGTCTTTTGCTCTGTTTCTTTAGGAAGATTTATATGACAAGGTATTTTTGCTAATTATTCCCTAAAATCTATGCAAATTCTAGTATCTTGTAAGAAAGCCTGTTTTGAAGAATTGTTCACATTCCATTTTATTTTTCACTTGGTAAATTAAAAGTATTTGACTGGAGCATCTTAGTAGCAAGAGAGTCCTCTTTCAATGTGTTCACGGTCCTTTCAGACTTCCTAAGTAATAGTGACATAAGAGCCAAATGACTTTCAATTCCCAGGCATGGCACAGTTCTCTAGTTTTAGATCTTTAAACCCTTATGGTGCCAGACATTTTCTGCTCTTGGCTGTAGACTAAAAGTCTCACAACTTCCAGTATTTAGATTGAAAATGGCACAGCCATTCAGACTTCACTGAGTTTGTTTGCACAGCATAGTTGACAGAGGCTGTGACCTTTGTGAGAAATGCTAGCTGCCTACAAGCATAAATTCCCCTGTATTCATTATATTTTTGTTTTCTCACTCTCTTTATTCTGTCACTCAACCAGAACTGCTGTGTGATGCGCTATACAACTGCTGGCCAGCTCTGGAACATCATAGCACCAAGGGAGTTTGTTGATTTCTCTTACACCACAAACTATGCAGATGGGCTTCTAACATGTGGTAAGCCACCTCCTACCTCTGCTTAATTCTTATTTTTCAACAGCTGCTTGGCTTAGGATTTGGTTCAAATGCAGTTTTGTTCTGCAGTAAACATTCCAAAAATGGTGTAAGATTGTCTCCAACAAATAAATTCAAGGTATTTTAACAATTTCAAAGGTATTTTAATGTTTTACATACTTAAAGGAGCGTACAAGTTACTGGCTTGCTTGTGTGCCAGGTTTCACTTATGTCAACTGTGAGATAGGAGTGGGAGAGACAAGTTGAGTCCTCCGACTCAGAGCAAACTGGGAGGAGCAGCAACTGGCTTCTAGTAAATGGGAGGAAGGTCTTTTTAATATCTAAATTTTTGCTCATCATGGTCTCCGTGCTCTGTTGTGGAGTTTGGATGAAGAGCAACTTTCATTCATGAAAGTACCCAGAAACTTGAAATGTGTCTGTCCCTTCTACTACATTCCTGAAGAAGAAGCAGCTTGTATATTTCAAATTTACTGCACCTGTATTTTTTTATTTGTGTTAAATTAATTTATCTGTTTGTTTGTTTGTTTATTTTCTTTGATAGGTATAAGCCTCGACTACGAGGAGGTGAGGCCTAACTTTGTGCGTGGATTCAATCACCCTTGTGGCTGGTTCTGCGTCCCCCTCAAGGATTGTCCCAGCCACAGCCTTTTGACAGGCTACATTCAGACTGAACTGCGGGGGATGCTGCCACAATCTGCAGTAGACACTGCTATGTCCAGTACCTTGGCCAATTTCTACTCTGACCTCAAAAAGGCACTCAAATCGTAGACAAACAGTGACTTAAAAGCCCGTGCATTCCTTGCAATCAGTTTATTATTATTTAGTTTTTGAGGTGATCCTTAGCATACATTCCCAATGCAAGATTCTTTCTGCTGCTCAACACTCTGCAGCTGTGTGAGAAATATCCTGAATCCATAAACCCCTGGCTTCCTCGGTAGAAAACACAAGATGAGTGTGTGCTCTTGAAAAATGCAGCATGAACTCAGCTCTATCCAACAGCATAGGTGGCCAAGTGCTCAGGATTTTGCTGGTGCAGGTTGCTGTACCGGCAGCATCTTATTGAAGATGTAATTTTGTTATATATATAGATAGATATAGATATTAACATTTTCAATTTGTTTAGTTTGTACAGCTGCATCTGTATTTTTTTAATTTGATTTGATTTATTGTAAGAATATTATATAGCTAAGTTGTTAAATGATACTATTCATAAGAAAGCTCTTTGCACTTGTTAGCAAAAATAAGTGTTCATTGTTGGCATTGATGTTGTAACTGTAACTTACTGTTGTGTATAATAGTCTGAGTGCATAGATAAAGAAATGCCCTTACAGCTGATCCAAAGCTCATTTAAGTCATCAGTTGTCTTTCCATAGTTTTTTTGTGGGCTTTTAATCACACAGTTGTCAAAATAGCAAACTTTCAGTGGATCTTCAGTGATACCCTGCACTTCTAAAGAATTTTTTACTTAAATTTGCATGCAATTGTTCGTGTGTGTGTGTGTGTGTGTGTGTTTGGTTTTGGGGCTGTGTGTGTGTGTGTGTTTCTTCCATAACTGAAAAACCTGGTTTTTTTCAGAATTTTTTAAGCAACAGAAAGAGCCAGTCATTTTTTTGATATATGGGCCTTGCTGTAGCCAACACAGACTGACAGCAGGCTGGTGCTGTGGAGTGTTCTGTGGTATTACCCCTAGATTACTCTTTGCAATAAATGAAATTAACATCTTTAAATGTGAGCAACTGAAGGCCAAAGCTCAAGCTGCAGAATTGCTCAGATGTGCTAAAGGGTGGAGGGCCCTTTCTTAAGGTCCAAATTTTTCAGGATATTCAGCAACCTAGTCATTCTGACAGGTATGTAGGAGGGGCACTCAAAAGATTACTCTGTGCTGCTAGGAACCTGAAATCTCTTTAAAACCCAAGATTAGGCTTTTAATGTTGGTATGTGTCGTGCTCAGGTGAGATTTTAATTATCCCTGTGCTTCACCAGTGCTCACAGGAGTGAGTTTAACTGTGTAGTAGTTAGGGAAGGTACCTTGAAGCCCTGATATTTTGGAGCCAGTTGTATGCACATAATCCAAGGACTGGTAATGAACTCTAAGAGAAAAAAAATTCAGATGAAAATTTTTCCCCTACAACACTGGCTTTTTTGACACTGGCCACTGTAGCTGAACTCTGAACAGTGAGGACTTTTCTTTCTCATTGCTCAGGCAAAAAGAGGTAGAAAACAGTGAGAGCTTTTCCAACGTGCTTCATGTTTTAAAGACCGTTAAAAACAATGCATCAAGCAGCCTTTGGTGTCTTCATAGGCAGAAAATGTTAACTCCCTGTTGGGTTTTGTTTATTCTGTAGTTCCCTTTACACTCCTTGGTGTAAATGAGGTCTAGGCACTGCAGAAAATTTTAAAAGGCCCCTGTTCCAAACACCCATTTTAGGGGCTCTAACACTTCTAGAATATCTATCCTTATTTAGTATTCAGTGAAATGTCTTTTTATGCTTTCAGTAAAGACAGGCTGGTGAAGCACAGAGCAGCTAAAGAAAGAAGAACTTGAGCTTAAATAAAAGAAAATTGCCAGTGTATTTTAAGTGTGTTGATGTTTTTAATAAAAATTTCAGTTCAGCTACAGAATAATACAGAACTAGAAGAAAGATGTCTAATTTCATAGTCTGTTGTATTTCTTTGAAACCAAAACTTAAATTTGTTTTGTATAGCTACAGGTGGAGAGGAGTGCTAGATCTTGAAGCACAGGTTTTCTTTAACAAGAGTACATCAGAACTGCAAGCCACAAAATCAGAGCCTTTTCCCACCCTGGCATTCTTTTCTTCCTAAGTTAGTGACAATCTAGGTGGAGCCAAGGCAGTTAAAACAGGAAGGTAGTTTGAAAGGACAAAGTGCAGGAACCCATGTTTTGCTTATGCAGAAGTGGGAGACAAAGTAAATTCTTTAGTATAGATTTCTGTCTCTTGAGTTTTAGAGCGTTTCAATTAACCTGGAATATAGTTATCCAGAAGCAACTTCTGAATAAGGTGGCCAAGAATAGCAGAGACCTGTTTTTTTAAGGGAAATGACATGTATATAGACACGTCAAAATTATTTTTATATGGCTAATACTTTTTAAAGAAATCTTAACTTTTTTAGGGATTTGAGCAATATGATGCTTTACTCTTTGGCACTTTACTAGGTGCTTTGTGTGTGTATGGGAGAAGTGACTAAAGATAAGACAATTTTCTTGTTTGACTTCTGTTCCTCCTCTAAAACCTCCAGCATTAAACCTTGCCTGTAGTTGTGCTCCTTATTTTACATATGCAGAAGGTAGAGACTGGGCTAAGTACAATTTGGGGGCAGTCCAAGGAACTCTACCACAGCTTGCTGGGAAGTGGACCACAACTTCGGATAGATACTATCTGCACAGGCCCTGATCACAAATATGATGAATTCATGTATGTGAAATACAGTGTATTTTGAAACAGGAGGCCAGGCCCAAAAGAGTTAACTAAGAAATTTGGGCCTGCTAACAAGCTACTAACATCCAAAACAATCTGTGCTTGTTCTGTTCTACTTACTGGACCAAAACTTAAGAGAATGGTAAAAGAACATGTAATAGGCCCAGAGGTAATAAATTAAGATGCAGTAGGATAAGGTAGACATTTGAATAGAAGAAACAGGCTGGAAGCCAAGGCTTTTTCCAAGCTTCAGTGAGCAGGTCGAGAACATTGGAAAAGAAGAGAGGTCAAGCTGAGAAAGATGAGAATAGCCCCCAGACCCATGGGAGGAAGATCGGAACTACCACCAAAATTGAAGGCCAAAAGAAGCACTACCCTAAGCCCCGCCTGAGCTCCACCTATACTCTGCCTGTTATTAATATGTATAGATAGATGTTGTAATCACTTGAATATACATTTAATCATATTTGAAAATTGTATAAAACCTGCTGATTCTGTGTGAAGCCTTTGAGCAAGTTTTTTCCAGCAATAGCTGGCTTGCTCCCAGCGCTGTCAATAAATACCTTTGCTGCTCAAAAATCAAAAGTCTCTGGGCAGTTCATTATTCCGGATTTTTCAGATTCAATTTATAAAACACAAAGGGATCATATAATTCCTCCACTAATCATGAGTAATCAGAATGGTTTTGATGGTATGAGCTGTTGATTCAGCTTAAGAGGTTCACTGCTGTAAAAGTAGCCCTAATTCCAGTGAAACTAGGTGAGCTGTGCCTATCTGCAGAACGTCAATGTCAGTCTATTTTAACAGTGTGTTTAACTTACTGTGTTCAGCACATAAGTGATTGTATTTCTACTTTAAATGCAGCTGCAGAATAAATTCAAGTACTGGATTCCAACAGACTCGTCATGTAGCTTTTTCAATTCTTGTGAAACCAGATGTACCATTCAGTGACTTTTTAGGGAGTTATATCTGATAATGTAGTTTTGGTGATCTCTAATGATATCAACTTGTCTCCTTAAATTTCAAAGCCATAAAGCCTGTTTTTACTTAGAAACTTGATTTAGGCCAAGGAAGATGCCCAACTCAGACTTCTTCTAGATTGAAATCTCTTGAAAACTGTACAAATAGAATTTTCTCAATGCTTCAATTCTAAAAATATATATACAGAGGGTATTTTTTATGATGACTGCATGATTGCTGTGGAAGAACTTTATTTGGCTTAGTATTACTTACCTTTTAGTATGTTTAAGAAATGGTTTATCATTAACATCAAAATGAAGTTAATCTTAAAAACGTGAGCATGTAGCACCTTGAAGGAGGCATATAGATTAGGTTTTATAAAACATGGAACATGTGTATTGACATGTGTTTAATTAGCACCTACAGAAACAAAGGAAGAAAATCTCTGTATTTTATGTAGAACCTTTTCTTGTTTCTCTTACTAAATTGGCATAAAAGCAGTAGAGTTCTGTAGCATTTGACTTCAATGGAAAGAGATGAGAAAAGGAACTGTGACCTCTGAGATATGGCAGGCTCTTGTATGGCTTGTATCATGTCACCTTCTGCAAAGTAGAGTAGGAATAGGTACAGAGACCACTTCAGATCTTTGGAAAATGATTAAAGTCACTAGTTAGAATTACTAAAAAAAAATAGTGATGTTTAGACCCATTTTCTGGTGAAAGATAATATGACAATGGAAGAGATTAAATCTATGCTAAATATTAACCAAAGTCCTAGAGCACAGTTTAAACTTTGGAATACATTCTGCCTTTTCCAGTCCTCATTGAGCTGTGGTGGTGATTTAGTTTTAAAGTACAGGGACTGATTATCATGGGGTTGACTTTCCTCAGGATTGTGTCATTAGTAGGGGGAAATCAGACACAGATCATAACAGCACCTGACAGGAGATACCTGTACATGTTTCACAGCTGACCCACACAATAAGAAATGTCATATCTGGGTTAAGGAGCCTCACATCCCAACAGATTATCCAGAAAAATCTTCTCCAAAGTAATGTTCTTTAACATGTTTCTTTCAGTATGTAAAGTCACTATGATGACCTAATAATCCCTGAAAATGTTTCCGTGATACAGGCGTCATAGGTGGAACTGTTAGAAGATCATTTACTGCCCAAAGTGTTATCAGAAAGTCACCTTGCTCAAGCCTTCTGTGGACCAGTTTGCCCGTGCCCTAGAATGTGTGACAAAAAGCACTTCCTGAGCTCTGTACCTGGGCCTTGCTGACCTGCCTGCCAGCACAGACCCCTCTCTGAGGCAGGTTATGACCCTAGAGAGCAAACTACTATGCTAAGATTCCCTGACTCTCTCAGTGTGTCAGTCTGAGTGCTGCTTTTCATTTGGGCTCAAATCAGGACTACAGCCAGTGTGTTACTGATTCTAGCTCCAAGGTACACTGGGGATGCAGGGCACTGCTCAAAGGGATTTGAGCAGCAGCAAACATGAGTATCCATGTTATTTGGGTACCATATGCCTCACAATTTGGAGGAAGAAGGAAGGAAATCACAGCATGCCTGTGCTGGAGCAGAAGTATAACAAATAAAAGTATAGAGAATTCACAGTGTGTGTACAAATACTGAATCATTCCCTAAAATCATCTGGGTATTTCAGACATAAAGCTTCCACAGTATGTACAATGTGTTGAAGGTAATAGGTGTTTGAACTGCTCAGAAGGACATAACTGCAAAACCCTGGAGCTTTCTAAAGAAGACTGCACTGGGCATCAACAGAAATGCAGAAATTTGTTAGTTATGGAGCAGCATGATTTTGTTTAACTGCCCACCTATCCTAACTTATGAGAAGTTCCCCTGACTTGTTAGTTCTTTCTTACTTCCCATGTTCTTGTTTGTCTTAAGCTCTCTGTAAAACTAGAATAATGTTATGCTGTATCATGAGCTTCTGCAGAGCTGTTTGATGTGCTACTTTTAAGAGGTCAGTCCAAAGCAAAAACACCTTGAGCTCCAGGGGGGGCTGAAAATCACCTTGATACATGCCCTCTTCCCTCCCTTGGACTTTCCACTCCCCTTTCCCATTCTTCTGTGGAGGTATGAAAAAGATGATTTCATGAAACTGTAGTAAGAATCTATGCCTTGCCTTAGTTTGGGAAAAGATTCAGCTACATCTCTGGAAGTGCCAAACCAGACCTTTTTTTGGAAGACTGTTACCATGCAAAATGTTCTGTGGAGTTTAGCATGATTTATTTCTTTGAAATTTTGAAAAATCCTCTCCCACAATCGGATATGTGGAGACTTTGCATTCAAGCAGTTTGCAAGACTAAGGAGTTGTAGGTGGCAGGAATAACAAGCTGCACCAGTACAGGACAGTGACTAACTGGCCAAGCTTCCATTCTTGCAAACTGAGCAAGAGGGAACACCACTGAGGGTGCTGAATGACAGGTGTGGGAACAGCACAGAAAAACAAAAAATAATCCTTTTAACACCTCAGTCATGCAAAGGCCTCCACTCAGGTACCACATGCAGCTTTGGGCTACATAGCTTTTGGCAACATAGTTCAAGAAAGAGAGTAGTCATCTACAGGTAGAAAATCCATATGCAAGCAAGAAGAGCAGTGAAAGAGCACATGCCCTCTGGGGAAGGACTTGGTTTGTTCTGCTGAGAGATGGGGATGCTGAACGAGGGACCATTTTAACAACTTTGATTTCATAATCACCATGATAGACAAACTGTTAACTGCAACAAAAAGACCAGAACTTTATAAAATACTTCTCAGTTAAAAGAGTAGCAGAACAATTTGATAGAGTGCAGAAGGAAGTGGTGGCATCTTCATCAAGTCTTTAGCAAAATGTGACACAAGCTTCTATCTCACATAACCCTCTCCAGAGCACAGGGGCAACCTGGGCAGCCCTCTAGTTCAGTACTCCACCACTAATAACATATTTAGTTTGTTACTCAACTGCTAAGTTTTTGAGGGAAGAGGAACAGGGGAAATGCTATGCCAAGTTGGAAACTGTTCTAGGCTTTGCAATATAAACTGGTAACACCCATGAATCACATCTCTCTGGAATGATGACTGTTGTTCCTTACTTACGCTGAGCAAATAATAGACGTAAGCATTTCTAGATTTACTAGTTTATTTAGCATCAGATCGGTCATGCAAACCACTTACTGAAAACTGATGTCCCAGCATCAAAGTATATTCTCGTGTCTTTATCAGCATTCCCATGCAAGCACACAGGCAGGTACATTGGTCCCACGCACAATACACTGAAATAACAAAACAGTCAATTTTTCTTTTCCGGTTCAAAATTCTCTCTGGTTCATTTGTACAGTATCAGAAAAGTTACTACATAAACAGGCTTTTAGTCAGAAGTAAAAGTGTACAGTTGAAAAAGCAGTCCATAAACTTCTATCTAGTTGCTAACATTGCTAATAGAAGCAAGCAGCATTGACAGTACAGGATTTCTTACACAACTAAGCAGTAAAAGAAGGACACAGGTACACAGGACATGGAGCTAATTTGAGAAAGTCTAATATATATATACATATATATATAACATATTTTTCATTGTTATTAATAAGAATCCAGCCACCATTGCTCTGAGATCAATGAGCTTCTGTAACAGGCTTATAAAATACTTTGTGTTACTAGTCAATAGCACCATTTGTCTGTTTGTCTTGGAAGAATCAGCACATATCCTAACCATGCAGCATATACTATTCTTGAATTAACAGAATCACAAAATTCCCCATTTACAGTCTGGTCCTCATCCAGTGAGGAGCCACTTGAAAGGCCAAGCCAGACACAAGCCCTTAGTGTATCACATTTCTTCAGGTTAAAACCAGCTTAAGCTGATGAGCTCCTTACTGTGGGTGTGGAGCAGCCAGCCAATCTCTGTTCAGTACTTCATGGGCTTGCAAGGGCATGGTGGTTTAGCTCCTTGAGACTAACAAACTCCTCCCCACAATGATTCTTCCCCTCCTCCCACTCCCTCATAGGCTGGACCAGACACCATTGCTGTTTTGCAAGACCATCCTATCAGTGGTAGACTTGGCAGTGCTGGGTTAACAGTTGACTCAATGATTTTACAGGTCTTTTCCAACTTGAATGATTCTATGGTTCTATGACTAGGGTTCATCCTCCACCTCTCCATCTTTCCTTCTCCCTGAGCACCTAATCATTTCAGAGGTAATATTCTCACGAGCATAGGCCTTTCAAGACTGTATATTCTGAAAAAAAAGAAATAACAAAAAAACTTCCAACCAAAGCCCAAAATAAGGTTTCCTTATGGAACACTAAATAAAATTTCTGCTTTAATCAGAAGCATTAGCATGACATCTCAGGAGGATGCGGCATGAACACGGAAGTGGTTTCTGTTGTGCATAACAGCACAAAACCACAGCTTGGGTTAGGTCTCAGTAGCCAGTTGTTTCAAATGTTCTTGTTTCGGATTACTTTCATTAAAAATCTCGTCATTTGTAATTACTGTTTCCCTGCAGCCAAGATGGTAAAGACTTGAGCAGAGCAAATAAGGCACTACCACTACACAAGAGGGCAGTAAGTTGTTGGTGGCACCAACTTGGATGCTTTGCAGGGTCCCATGGATCACTG